CTATTCTTGGATTGTTTTATCCTATATGGATTTTAGAATCAATTTTATAATTCCAAGAAAATTCTAGTTGGCATTTTTATTGGAACTCCATTGAATATATGATTAATTGGAGGGAATTAGAATGTGATATTAAGATTCCTCATATATAAAAGTGATATTTCTTTATTTATTCTAGCCATTTTCCATTGCTATGCTAAATTAATCCTTTCTATATAACACTAGACCAAATTCTAAAAGACAAATAACTGAAAGACTATTTCTCATCCAAGACCCATAACAGGAAACCAAAAATATGGTTATTATATACACAAAATCCATACACTGTATGGATTTGTGAGTTATAACAAATAAAATAGATCATATCCAATTGATTAAGTTACTTTTTTAAATCTAGCCACCTGAAATAATCCTTCAAAATGTAGCTTATACCTCACCACTTTCAGAAAGCCCTCTCTGATCACGCATCTACAGCATTTCCCCTTGTTTTTGCACCTGGAAATTATTGAAGTCAGTTTCAGAGAGCTACAAACCAATCACTTATAGGCAACATGGGCCTGCATATGTGCTTAGTTTGACCTACACCAGGTTGCTCAAAACAAAAACTGGACACCAAAAAAATTAGGACATTTCACACAAAAATCACAGGATTTCTGACTTGCAGGTTATATGTCATTTTCCCTTAGGGACCAAGCGATGAGAGGTTCCATCTCCATGCTTCCTTGATTACCAGTGTAGGCAAATCTCACACTAATTCTTAAAGCTTCCACCTAAAAGTGACCTGTTAATTTCCTACTCATATTCCACTGGTCAAAGTAAAATCATGGTCAGGCTAACTTCAGAAATGATTTTAAAAGGTATAATCCTACAACGTGCCTGGAAGGTAAAAAGTCAGAAATATCTCCTATAATTAATGACATTGACTTCAGTTTCTTCCCTTCTACCTATTCTCCAAACTACCACTAGAAGCACAGACTGAATTATTTCACAACACTGCTTAAAAAAACATGAAACTACAATGTTTAAAGGATAAAAAGTAAAACTGAGCTTTCATAATCTTCTCCAAAGTCTTTTACCACCTTCTTTTCCCATTATATCCCCTCACATTACCTATTCTCTAGCCTTTCTGAATATGTTTTAGCATATATTCCAAAATTTAGCTCAAACATCATCTCAGGCTCATTTTTCCCTTTTTCTGGAAAAAAATAAACCCTACATCCACTATATTTATAAAACCACATTATTTATAATAAGCAGTAGTACTCACTCAAAGTAGTTTATATGTGCCAGGCACTTAAAACATAACGGCCATGTATCTATTAGAATGTACGGTGCCTAGATTAAGTAAAGATCTTACTTGCCCTGGTAATTAATTCCCTATAGCATAACACCAGACACACAGATTCTCAAAACATGAGCCTCCAAACAAATTCAAATAAGACACGATGTAATGCCACGACATTTTACTTACGTTTCATTTACTTTTAAGCGTACTTTGACTGTTTCTAAAGCTAAACGGACCCAGACCTAAACTATCGCTTTTTGAGACTGAAGACTATGCTTTAGTTATGCACGGCTCTTGGGTTTTGTCTTCACTGCTTTTGGAAATAGTTTACTTACCAAGACCTAAGTTGGGGTAGTTATAAAGACAATCAGGTAGCCAAATTAGAGCAGTAAATGCTTTTAATACAATCCTCACTTCTTTTAATAATTTCAAGTTTGTAAGCACTCTAGCAAAGTAAATTTAAAAACACATTTGAAATTTAAAGTGATTAGTTTACAAATTCTAATAGTTCTAATAAAATATCTGTTTGCTTCTGCTTCAAACTAAGTTATGCTGAAGTAGGAGACTGTGGACATATTTAGTCATTTTAGTCTACTACTGTCCAAATATTAGCATTTCTAAATGTAATATTAAAAAAAATAAAACTTCAAATGAACTTGTTTTGTAGGTACGGACACCATAATGAAGAACTAGGAAAAAAGTACCATAATAAAGCAAACAAAGAGAAAGTTTTAAGACATTGTGAACAGTGCGGAATATTGAAGTCTAGTTAAAAGAGAACTAAAAGTAGGCAAATAGACTTGGCAATTTAAACAATTACAGTACAGTAATGGAGGAGGCCAGAATATAATCTCAGGAAGAGTCAATGGAGGTAAGGAAGTAAAATATGTGACTATAAGCTATTATTCTCAGAAATTCTAGAAATAAATGGAAGAAAAGTTTTAATGGCAGGGTGCAGTGAAATTCTGTTGTTTCTTTTTGTTTTTTAATGTGCCTCAGGCATGAAACAGCTCTGGCCACTGACACAGGCATCAAGCTAGGATGAACTAAGGACTGTACATCTGCTTTGCCCTGACTGATATAAGAGCAACATCACCAATCAGGTGTCTCCTTGCCCATTGCTGGGGGTTGTTAAGTTTTGTTTATAGAATACAGGAGACTTAAATATCTTTGTAGGCAGAGAAGGGGGGATGGTCAATGGAGCAAGGTTTCAAGAAAGTGTAGGATCAGAGAATAAGCTAAAGGATCAGGCATGGAAAAGAGAAAGAATACTTCTATTCAGAGATAGGTAAGAATTCTTAGAATAGATGAAGAACTCTATTCTGCTCATTCCCATGTTTTAAAGGGGGCATCTGCAAACTTATCAGGAAGTTTTGTGGAAAACTATTATGAGGAAATTCTGCCTTTTCAATTAAATGGTAAGATAGTAACATTCTCTACTGGTCTCTGGAGGATAAAACAACTTATGTCTCCTATTCTATTTTTATTGGCTGTTATGTATTAGCAAATGGCAAGAGTGGCTATTATCAATCTAAATATCTTTGACTTCTTATTAAAAATAAACAATACATTTAATGTTTCATTCCTGTTCATTAAAAGACAATGCACTTAACATTTCATGTTGTAGAAGTAACATCGTAAGTATATGACAAATCAGTCTGGAACAAGCATGTCAAACTCAAAGGCTAACACGGGCCAAATAAATGAGGCATGCGGCCCAGAGGCTGCAAGTTTGACATGATTGGTCTAGAACAGCGGTTCTCAGCCTGTGGGTCACGACCCCTTTGGCAGTCGAACCACCCTTTCACAGGGGTCGCCTAAGACCATCCTGCATATCAGATATTTACATGACGATTCATAACAGTAGCAACATTACAGTTATGAAGTAGCAACAAAAATAATTTTATGGTTGGGTCACAACATGAGGAACTGTATTTAAAGCGCCAGAAGGTTGAGAACCACTGGTCTAGAACAAGAGTAAAATAAAATTTTATAGAAAAGTTTCCATCCTTTAATACCTAGTATTTGATAAAAGAGATATCACAGAAGTTAAGAACCCCCACAAATTATTCCCTTGAGAATTTGTCATCTAATTGGCCAGATGAAAAACATACATAAAATGACAGATTCTTAAGTAATATATTTTTTAGTTCAAATAAGAAAAAACTGAGGACCCAAGGGGTGAATAAATTATCACAAAGCAAAGAGAGGTTACTGAACCACAACTTAGTTTTCCACTTACGGCAAAGGTTTGCAGTGGTCACTGAGATATAATGTAGCTCAATTTGTGGTCAGTAAAACCACTATTTCACATCCAATAATTTCACAGCACAGATACATAATTTACTGCATTTAATGCTCAAGAAAAGTTACTTTGGCATTTAAATTTGATACAACTTCCCTTAAGAATTCTACTAAGGCAACATTCTTACCTATAATTTGCAGGTGAATTTATAGTACCTACACACCACCTCAGCTCATTTCTGACAATTGTATATCTCAACACTGTTATTGTTAATTGCAGAATAAGTTAGGGAAATTCTAGAAGCTATATAGAATGTTTACAAAAGTATAGAAGCAGCTTTGGAAGGGTCAACTTCAGAGATGCTTAGGCCTGTTAAGAAAATGGATTATGTCTTACAAAATTGGAAGAATCATGAAGAAACAGGCTGATACTACAGAAACATGAGAATATTTAAAACTAACAAAAGTAAACAAAAAAATAACTGAAGTCTATGCAAGGATGCAATATAGAATCGCAAAATGATTTCAATTGTCTAAAAAAGTCATAAACCGTGATAGATCTAATCAAATCATTGTTGAAAAATTGCCTCTAAAACACTGAAAATTTCACGAAATTTCAAACACAAGTGTTTCTTACACAAAATAGACTGCTTTGTATGAAGGAAGACAAAATCACTGATAGTGATATGGAAATGAGGTAAAGGGATACTAAAGGTGGGTTATAAAAATATTTCCCCAAAATAAAACAATCCATTACTTAAAAGGAAGGAACAACACATAGTCATCTCTCTTGCTAATAGAGGACTGAAAAGATAATTAGTGTAGAACTCAAAAGAGGCAGAAATTTCTTCTTTAACTGAAAGTATATAGAATACCCTGAGATAGAAATCTATGAAGAGGTCATTTGTCCAACAGCATGGAACAAGACAAATGATAATAGTAAAACAACCGAAAATGCACTTAATTTTAATAAGAATGTAAAAAAAATCTGTACCAGATTTAAAGAAAAAAGAGGTATTACTTATCAATTCATCCATGTTTCATAATCACTAACAAGAATTTATCAGTCTTAAGATTACACAAATGTTCTAGAGATCAGTTTTCTGGATCTTACCAAGAGTATGCCATGTTTACTTTTTCATGTGTTACTTCTAATGTCTACATTGCAAACCCACAAACTAGATATTTTGAGTCCCTTTTTTACTAAAAGGAAAGTTTGATAATCTCACATATCTCCAAATTTTAAATCAAAGCAAAGAGAGAAAACTCTTATTACTAGGCAAAAATTAAATTAAGATAATAGAAAATGTTCTCCATGTTACTTAGTGTTGAAATACAGCAACCATATAAGGTAAGCTTCTTACCACAATGTTACCTATGAGGTGATTTTCTTGGGAGTGATTTCTTTCTGTGGATAACTAGAAAAAAGCTTGCAGTTTACACACAAAGAAATACTGAGAGTCTGTATACTAACCTGGCCCAGTCCAGGCATACCTCCTCCAAGTCTAAGAAGTCTGTCCATATTTCTAGAAAACAGAAACAAAGGAAAACGTTTCTAAGCACAAAAGTGTTTACGCAATTGCTATCTATATAATTCACCTTCAGTCACTCAGTATGTCAAAAATATTGGTGGTAATTACAACACAACATCAGACTTCCTGTTAATTAACACCACATATTAATTCAAGAAACTGTCTTCCATGCTAATTAACAGACCTTATTTTACTGCTTTGGTTTTGGGTTATCCCCAGTTTTAAAGACAAGCAATCCTAGCATAATTTCAAAACTTTGCTATCATTAAGTTAATTATATATTTTATTGTTATCTAATAAAGTACCTGAATAAGGAAAAAGTGCCTGAAATGCTTATATGTATGACTGAATTTCCTCCCATTTGTCCAGAGTGTACAAATAAAAATCCTCACTCTTAAAATTAAATTTTAACATCCTCATTAGTAAGTTCTGTGCTAATTAACTTACAGCTTGTCAGTTATCATCAAAACTACATGTGAAAGACATTGTGAGCAGATTATGGATCTCTGAATTAGCATCAAAGGCTTTTGAAAAATGAACTCATTATACTAACAGGAATATTAAAAGTAAACATTAATGCATTAAGATAGTGTTTTACAACCTACACAGATGTTTTGTGTTATTTCAGATATTGTGGAGATATGTCCTTTTTTTGCTAAGGATATTCAGCTGCTGTTCTTAACTCTAATAGAGAGGATTAACTTTGAAATAGCAATCTGATTTGTTTTTTTATGTCTGGAATAACTACAGAAGACATTCTGATAAGCCTAGAAATTTCACACAAGAAACTGAAAGGAAAATAATAGCAAGGCCTCAACTATACAAATAGGAGTAATCAAGTTATACAAATTCATATCCAGTACCACTAAATACTTAAAGATGAGAATAAAGCATTTTTTTCTACTTGCTAATATGCCTTACAATTTCTCTTCTTCCTATGCTTTAGAAAATGGTATTACTACAAATACAAGTAAAATGCTAACAGATTCGTTTAGTCATTTGTCCATATCATTTTCTAGTTAAAAATGCTACACAAATTGAAACGCAGTAATGTACTTATGGCCCTGTGGCTCAGTTGGTTCCATGAACCGAGAGGTTGCTGGTTGATTCTGGGTCAGGGCACATAACCAGGTTGGGGGCTTGATCCCCAGTAGGGGGGCTGCAGAAGGAAGACAATTCATGTTTCTCTCCCTCTCCCTTCTTCTCTCTCTAAAATCAATAAAATAAAATAATGTATTAATGATCATTACTTTTCGCTTAATCATGTTTGTTGAATCCTAACAATGTAATCATGAGAATCTATATATATAAAAGGCTAATATGCAAAGTGTCCCCACGGGAGTTTGACCGGGAGACCAGGAGTTCTATCACTCGCTATGACATACACTGACCACCAGGGGGTGGCGCGTAATGAAGGAAGGCCCCAGTTGGCAGCCAGCAGCCAGAGAAGGGAGGCCCCAGCCAGCAGCTGGCAGCCAGCGAAGGAAAGCCCCAGCCAGCAGCCAGGAAAGGGAGGCCGCAGCCGACAGCCAGAAGGCCCCTATCGGCCCTGATTGCCAGCCAGGCCTAGGGACCTACCTGTGCACCAATTTCGTGCACTTGGCCTCTAGTATTTAATAATGTTAACACTGCAAACTTTATTCAAGTCCATATAAAGAACACTGAAAACTTTACTCAAGTCCACATATAGAAGAGCACACAAATGAGTAAACCATGGAATTTTCACAAAGTGACCACATTCGCATAACTACCACCTAGATCAGGTGTGGGGAACATCTGGCCCAAGGGCCATATAAGGCCCGAGAAATCATTTGGTCTGGCCCTGCCAAGGCATTAGGGATAAGTTAATTAAACGTTTAGCAGGCTAATTTTTAAGTTGATAATTTTGTATGGCCCTCACATGATGTTACAAATATCCAAATGGCCCTTGGCAGAAAAAAGGTTCCCCACTCCTGACCTAGATGAAGGAACAGATCATTATCAGCATCTAAGAACACCTCTCATACCCCCTTCCCAGTCTCTACCACCCCACAAATTAGAATTCCAACTTCTAAAAGCATAGATTAGTTCTACTATTTTTGAATTCTATAGAAATTAAATCATATACTTTAGTATCCAGCTTTCACTGCACAAGTCTGTGAGATTCACAACAAATAAACTCCTCTAAAAAAATGAAAAGGCACATATGAAAACTTGATAGCCCAGACAAATTTCTGCTTTACAACCTTAACTCATACTCCTAATGGCAACATTTACAAATAAACTCTCCATCAAATTCTCATCAAAATTCTTTAACTCAAATCTGGCATTCAATATATAGCATTTTTTAAAAGGCTATAGATAGGGGGGGAAAAAAAACACCTATATATTTTAAATTATTAAAGACATTTCTCTAGAATATATTATCAAAGGAAAAACTTTTTTTTTTTGGACTATTTCAAGCTTACAAACTTAAATGCAAATGGAAAAAAAAGTAGTAACACACCTTCGTTGGGTGGTTCAGTTAGTTAAAGTGTCATTCCATATACCCAAAGGTTGTGAGTTCGATTCCCAGTCAGGATACATACTAGGTTTTGGGCTCAATCCCCAGGAGGCAACCAAGCGATGTTTCTCTCACATGGATATTTATCTCTTTCTCTCCCCCGCCCCCCTTTTCCTCTCTCAAACGTATCCTCGAGTGAGGATTTTAAAAAAACAAAACAAAACAAAACTAACAACATAGAGTATATTCTAGAAATTCCAGGCCAAAGTCGATTCCCAGCTGTGTTCAGTTTATCTATTCCCCATGTTGTTTCTGATGCCTTTACACAGACTCCAGATGCTGTGAATATACATGAGCAATGTGGGGAGCAGAGGGAAAGAAAATCTGGCAGGTCAAATTTGTGTTTTTAGCAAAAGTAGATGTCTCAGCAAACAGGAGATAATATTTAACAAACCAAAACATTTAAGATAAGATAATCAGATCTAACAAAATACCAACATTTGGAAATGAAAAATATTGATAAATGTTCTAAATCACACCACTATTTTTAAGTTTATAGAATGCAAATAAAAACAAAAATGCTTTCATGAGCCCTTAAATTTGGTTAACTGATTTATAATTTGTTATGTGTTAAAAATGATATATTTTCATAACACCCTATATTAATTCCTGAAAGAATATGTAAGTAAAATACATTCTTAATTCTCACCTGGTCAGTAACTACAATTCCTGTGGTGCTAAGATTCAATTTGTTGACTTTGACAAGTTTCTTCTTAAGTCAAGCTATTGCTAATTCTGGCAGTTATGATTTTTTTGAAGTATTTTTTTCTCTCTCCTAAAAAAAAAAAAAAAAAAAAGTAAATGAAATGATATAATTTTGAGAACTAAAAAGGAAAATATAACAAGCACTTTATAAGAAGCAAAATTACTTAAAAATAAAACAGAAATCAAAATTAAATTTTTAATTACCATTTCCAGAAGGTATAGAATGAAATATCATCCTGGGAAGCTAGATAGCATAGTGATTAATTCTATATCAAAATTTTGTTTCTAAGGATTTTTTTTAAATTATATGTATTTTTTATAACTTTATTGTTGACACTATTACAGATGTCCCCATTCACCCCACCTCGCCCACCTTTACCCAGCCCCCTTCCCCCTTCCCTCTCACCATCACCACACTGTTGTCTGTGTCCATGGATTATACATATATGTTCTTTGGCTAATCTCTTCACCTTCTTTTATCCATTCCCCCCCACGATTCCCCTCCCCTCTGAAAGCTGTTGGTCTGTTCCATGTATCCATGCCTCTGGTTTTATTTTGTTCATCAGTTTATTTTGTTAATTAGATTCCACATATAAATGTGATCATATTGTAATTATCTTTCTCTGACTAGCTTATTTCACTTAGCATAATAATCTCCAAGTCCATCCATAGTGTTGAAAAGATGAGTTTCTTCTTTCTTTTTTTCAAAATGCATATTCCAGGGCCTTACCCCAGGCTCACTGCATCTTTTTCCCCCCAATATATTTTTATTTTTTAATTGTTGATAGTATTACAGATATCTCCCATCCCTCCCTCCTTTACCCCTCCTAGAATTTTGTGTTTTTTTTTAAACCGTTCTAATTATATGTAAAAATTGACATTTTATGACTTTTAGTCTTTTGGGAAGTGTTTCAACAAACAAAGAGAAAATTTACTTATATTTTTAAGTAAAATAAAATTCATTTGATTGTGTAATTACCATATAGGTCCACTACAACGCTATTACAAATCTATGATACATTATGGAATCATTATGTTATTTGTCCTGTATCTTGAAATTTGCTGTTCATTATCCTAGAAATTAAGTTCATTTCTTAATTCATTATTGCCAATTGTGCCAAAAAGACTAAAATAACATGAAAATGTAAGAATGACAACCATCATCCAAAATGAAGCAATCATGAAACACGTTAGTTACTGCACCATCCTTTAGTTTTTATTGTGCTGTACAAAGCTTTGCTTCATCTTTCAAAAAAGATATAAAAGACTAGAGACATTATCTTTATAGTCTTTTTTTAGTTTTCATTGAACACAATTAGAATTTTCCATATCCCACCCATAATGGCAAAAGGAGAATTGACAAAGAAACAAAGCTTCACAATTTTTAGGGAATCACAAAATGAATGTAAAGAAAGAAGTAACAGCATTCTTTTCTAATAAGACAATAAAACTGATGGTATAAGCCAGTGATGGGGAGCCTTTTGAGCTCAGCATGTCAGCATTTTGAAAAATCCTAACTTAACTCTGGTGCCATGTCATATATAGAAATTTTTTGATCTTTGCAACCATAGCAAAACAAAGACTTATATTTTTGATATTTATTTTATATATTTAAATGCCATTTAACAAAGAAAAATCAACCAAAAAAATGAGTTCGCGTGTCATAGGTTCACCATCATGGTATAAGCCATGAGTTGGGGGAGGAGGTCCTTTTGATAATCAGAGCCAAAAAATTTTGTTGTAGGGG